GTCTCGCCCCGGATGATTTGACACCATTCACCCCAACTGTTCTGTGCTCTGCTTCCATTGCTTGCTGAAACATATTGCGGCCATGGACCTCGCAAGCACGTCAACCGTCCCGGATCCCCGGAGCCTGAACCTAAACTTGAACATGGGCCTCGACCACAACCTCGACACCAATAACTCGTCGCCCAGTCACCGCCATGACGAGCTCGCCTCGACTTCTCCTTCCTCTGACTACTTCAAGAACACACCGACTTTCACCGCTACTGCCGACGTGAACTCCACACCACTCTCCTCCTCTACCTCCCATCACAACCACAACCACAACCACAACCACACACTTGCTCCCAACGCCGCTGCCGCCGCCAACGATGTGACTACTGTGAACCATCCATCCAGAGACAACTGCGACAGACGGAGACCTGACGAAGGAGAAGTCTCAAAGTTCCCCGCGAACATGCCTACCCAGCTCGTCGGCCAGACAGTTACCCCCTTCCTCCGAGAACACATCCCCGGCATCTACGCTCCCATCGGCAAACCCGATGTCCAAAACGAAAACAACAACTCCCTCATCCAGAAGCGAGACCCTACCAACAGCAAGTTCTGTTATCGTCACCGCCCCGACGCAAAGTGTCGTCGCGCGGCCGACGAGTCCAAGATGGTCTTGATTCAAAGTGTAAGCCCGTCTTGTGTTGATGCCCACAGGGCCTATCGACTCCGTGCTGACACGTCTGGCGCACAGGAACTCGATAAGCTGCCGTCTGCCGATCAGCAAGCCATCACACACGTGTGGTCCCTCTTCTCCGCCGCCCCCGCCAAGCACCGCGACCTCATGCTCCAGGGTATCATCACTCAATGCTGCTTCCCTCAACTGTCCACCGTTTCCCGAGAAGTACACGAACAGCTGAAGATCGACTTCATGGCTGCGCTGCCGACCGAGATCTCATACAAGGTTCTTGGCTACCTCGATACTGTCTCCCTCTGCAAGGCCGCTCAAGTCAGCCGAAGGTGGCGGGACCTCGCCGACGACGACGTTGTCTGGCACCGCATGTGCGAGCAACATATTGACCGCAAATGTACCAAGTGCGGCTTCGGCCTTCCCCTCCTGGAGCGTAAGAGGCTACGAGACTGGAACAAGCAAAAGGAACTCGCCGAAGCTAGGAGCCTGCAACAGGATGCTGCCGTACAAGAGGTTGAAGAGGTTGAAAAGACCCCGACAGCCTCGTCGCCCAACGCCAACAAGAAGCGAGAACTAGTTGTCCTCGACGACAGCCGAAAGCGTGCTTGCCTGAGCGACCCGGGCGAGCCCATGGCACCCAAAGCTGGAGCAGACAAGGAGCGAGAACGTCTCATTCGGCCGTGGAAGAGTGTCTACCGTGATCGTTTCAGGGTTGGCTTCAACTGGAAGTACGGTCGATGCCACATCAAAACCTTCAAAGGACACGACAACGGCGTGACCTGCTTGCAATTCGACGACGAGATTCTTGCCACGGGATCCTACGACGCCAAGATCAAGATTTGGAACATTGAGACGGGAGAGGAGATTCGCACTCTGAGCGGGCACACGATGGGCATCCGTACCCTCAAGTTTGTCGGCAACAAGCTCTTCAGCGGTAGCTTGGATCACACAGTCAAGGTGTGGAACTGGCAGACGGGTGACTGCATCAGCACGCTACGTGGCCACAGCGAAGGTGTCATCACGGTCGACTTTGATGGAAAGTACCTCGCATCGGGTTCCATCGACAAGTCGATTAAGATCTTCAACTTTGACAGCAAGGAAACGTTCTGCCTCCGTGGCCACGAGGACTGGGTCAACCACGTCCGCCTGGACCCTGGATCGCAGACGCTCTTCTCAGCCTCGGATGATTGCACTGTTCGACTTTGGGATCTGCGGAACAAGACATGCATCAAGACCTTCGAGGGCCACATGGGTCAAGTGCAGCAGATTCTGTTGATGCCGGAAGACTTTGAGCCCGATGAAGAGGCACTCGCTGGTGATGGCGCCGATAACGTGTCAGTTCACAGCGGCAGCGGCCGGAGCACGACGCCGACGGCGTTTGCCAACGTGGCGTCGATTCTCGGCTCTTCTTTCGGCGGAGGAGATTCCGGTTCTCCACCGGAGGACGACCGGACGTCGTTTGGTTGCGCCTTCAACTCGGACCCCACTCGGCAGCTGCCGCCCCGCTATATGCTCACCGCCGGTCTCGACAACACGGTCAAGGTGTGGAACATTCACACTGGTAAATGCCTCCGTACCATGTTCGGTCATGTCGAAGGTATCTGGGGCCTCGTCGGTGATACTTTGCGTATTGTCACCGGCGCCAACGACTCCATGGTCAAAGTCTGGGAGCCCAAGAGCGGCAAGTGTGAGCGCACCTTCACTGGCCACTCTGGCCCCGTCACCTGTGTGGGCTTGACCGACAGTCGCATGGCCAGCGGAAGTGAAGACGGCGAGGTGCGCCTGTACAGCTTCGAGGCAGAAGCACCTCTCCTCGAGGAATGTGGTACTCCAGCATAATGGAGCAGCGATGGAAAGTTTTGTGTTTCTTCTTTTTTGTGTTTTCCCTCCTCCTTGTGAAAAGGATTCCATTGTTTCAGGCGGGAGTTTTGCAAAGACGATTCCCCAACGGCGATTTATGAGAGACGGGCAGTGTTGTTTGCACAACGGAGAAGCGACATCGTTGCGGCTCATCTCATTCTTGTTCAGATTATTTAGATGTCCTCGTGGACCACAGGGACTGGGACTGGTACTGGTACTAGGACGGGTGACGAAGCCCGATCATATGGGATGGTGTTTGAGGAGTTATTTTGTTTCAAAGAAACCCGATAGGAAAACCGAAAAAGGGAATTGGGTTGGGTGGCATAGGAGGGAAAATCTAGCGGCGCGCTTATTCCAAGTATGGAATATATAATGAGCCCTCATTTTAATCTACTACAAAATTTACGAGTCGTACCATTGGTTTTCACATGCTTTTGTCACACAGACGGGCAGGTTGTGTGTTGTGGTGGTGGTGGCTTGTCAGCCTCACCCGCTTGCGACTTTCATCTGATACTGGCGCCGCAAATCAGCACCAGCACCAGTGCCAGACCTTGCCAGGTCCAAGCTAGTTTCCCGTCCCTCCATCGCCAGCCTTCATCAGGTGACGGCTATGTGGCGGTGCTTGCATGACTAAGCTTGAAGGGGCATCAGGAAGTTGTTCGGTTCATTCATGTCCATTTGACTGTGTCTCTTGCGATCTCTGTTCTCTCAGATAGGATGAGACAAGACGAGTGAGGTGAGTTCAAGGCATGGGAACTCGCTTCATTACTATAGTGATGAGAACGGCGGTAGAGTATTAGCCATAGAGATGAGAGAACTCGTGTAAAGGACAAAAGGGAGTGAGTCAGTGGCCTGGATTGAATGACTGAGTGTGTGAGTGAGTGAGTGAGGCCAGGACCAGCGTCCGAACCTCGGCAACTTCTGGCGAATGAGTCTGGCCAGTCGGGAGGGCGGAAGTAGCCGGGCCCCCAACTCCCCACACTCTGAGTACCAGTTCCGCACTTCCTTGCAGCAGCAGCCGCCACCTCTTTGCCATTGGGGATGTTTCCCCGCAAAATCACAAGCTCGGCTTGGGGTCGGCAAAGCTGCGAGCTAGGCCCCGTTCTCCCCCTTTCGTTGTGTGTCTGTCTAGGTATTCTCTGCTGCAGCATGCCGCACGTTGGAACTGGAGCTGCAACTGGAACGGAGTCAACTGCCGCTACGTCACTTTTGGGGGTGTGGACTGTGGAGCGATATGTCACAGGCCGAGGAGACGTGAAGAGAGGAAGAATAAGAAGGGAAACATGATGAAGTAAGTGACGGGCAAATAACACATGATCACACTCACTCCAGGCTCGACGTAGGCATGTCAATTAGCTCCCTTGGTCCAGCCAGTGTCTGTTCAACGCTCAACCGGAAGACGATTGGAGACTGTAGATGATCCAAACAGCAAGGAGTACCAAGAACCTGAGATGAGAGATGAGGTCCAAGGTACGCTTGCGGTCTCCAATACCTATGCCAATCACACCCCCGCCTGGCCTCCGTTCCGCCGAATCGGGATGGTCTGTCGCAGCGCAAACCCGCTACAGAGTCACAGACGTCTGAAGAGTTCAATGGTTTGAGCCACTCAGACATTGGTCCCGTGCTGCCTCTCTCTCTCTCTCTCTCTCTTCTCTCTCCAGAATGTTGTCCCTTCTCATCTGTCCATGGCATGGAAGACTAGAAGTCTATCCGTACACGCCCCCCCTTCCCCCTCACGCGCCCGGTTTACCGAAACCCCTGGCGCTGGTGTGTGCCGTCGTCCTAGGCTGGAAAGCTGAGGTCTGTCTGGCTGGCCTCGTTGTGCCGCGGGTGAAGGGGGAGATGGAAAAGACCTTCTCCTCATATGCTTTTCTTGTCTAGCTCCTCAAACTTACAGTCCCCGTTACCGGTGTGTATGACACCAGGCACACACACTCACTCTCACTCTCCCCAAGACAAGACCAAGACCGCCTTACACGGCTGTGCTCGGGACGAAACCTCGAGTCATCTGCTTCTTCCTGTCCTGATTCTATTCTGGCTTGTGCGGCGTGCTTTTGACATTGGCCACCCCCCTCCCCTCCCCTCCCCTTCCAATGCCATGCCATGCCCCCCTCCATCTAGTCAGTAACCGTATGCGCCACCTTTTATATACATGATTGCCCGCTCTACCGTGGCTTCTGTCATCGGCGCCGAGGATGTTTGGCTTTGCCTTTGTACGTCCCTGGCAGCGACTTGTTCCGAATCTTCTTCTTATTCTATCCCGACTTCTTCCCATGCCAGCTTCTCCCTTGTGATTCTCATGATACCCTCCTTCTTCTCTTATTTACTGTGACGCATCTCGCATCCCCATCTATACTCTAGATCAACAACACCAGTGCTCGCTTTCTCCTTTGTTGGTTTCGGCGCAAGACTTGCTGTCTCCTCTCTTCCCTATCCGTCATATCATCTACTTTCTTCATCTTGCGTCATGTCGTCCAAGGTAAAACAAGACGGCAAGGCGCCGACCTCGGCCGCTGTGAACCTCATTGGTATGTACACTACCTCTCGCAAGACCGGCGTGGCAGAGACATCGTCACTAACACAACCCAACAGCCGGAGGTGGTGCAGGTATGATGGAGGCATTGGCATGTCATCCCCTCGGTAAGACTCCCTCCTCTTGCTGCAGCACCAAGGGCGCGCATATGCATGCGCAAGCACACACGCCTACCCGAAAGATGTGAACGAAAGTCAATTGACATGGGACCAAACCCACAGACACGATCAAGGTCCGAATGCAGCTGTCGCGGCGCGCGAGGCAGCCCGGCGCACCCAAGCGCGGCTTCATCAAGACGGGTGTCGAGATTGTTAAGAAGGAGACGCCGTTGGGTCTGTACAAGGGTCTCGGTGCCGTTCTGACGGGTATCGTGCCTAAAATGGCCATCCGCTTCACGAGTTTCGAGGGGTACAAGAATGCTTTGGCGGACAAAAACACGGGAGTTGTCAGTGGACAGGCGACATTCTTGGGTGAGTCATTCTACAAGAGATGTGCTCTTCTGCCAGTATACCAAACGAGACTAACCTCTGGTCTCGTGTAATAGCCGGTCTCGCTGCGGGCGTCACGGAAGCCGTCGCCGTCGTAACGCCTATGGAGGTTATCAAGATCCGCCTCCAGGCACAACACCACAGCATGGCTGACCCTCTCGATATCCCAAAGTACCGCAACGCCGCGCACGCGCTCTACACGGTCGTCAAAGAGGAAGGCTTCGGCGCGCTTTACCGCGGCGTGTCGCTGACGGCTCTGCGCCAGGGCAGCAACCAGGCCGTCAACTTCACGGCTTACTCGTACTTCAAGGAGGCCCTCAAGAAGTACCAGCCCGAGTTTGAGAAGACGACGCTGCCGGGCTACCAGACGACTCTGATTGGTCTCGTCAGTGGCGCCATGGGCCCGTTGAGTAATGCGCCGATCGATACCATCAAGACGAGGCTGCAAAAGACGCCGGCCGAGTATGGCGTTAGCGCGTGGAGTCGCATCACCAAGATTTCGGCTGATATGTTCAAGTATGTGGCTGCCTCTCTCTTCTCCGTCTCTTGTCCCAGTAAAATTATACTGACTGCATCAATAGACAAGAAGGATTCCACGCCTTCTACAAGGGCATCACGCCGCGTATCATGCGAGTTGCGCCCGGCCAGGCTGTGACGTTCACCGTCTACGAATTCCTCAAGGAGAAGCTGGAGAAGAGCAACCTCGCCTTCTCTGGAGCTGGCTACGAAGAGTGAATCGTGCTTACGACACGGCAGTGACGCAGTAAAGAACTGTTTGTTTTCCACGTAAAGAGAAGGGGAATGTCTGTCGATGTGCAAGATACCAGTGCCTTATCTGCGTACTAAGGGGCGGCTCTGTGATTTTGGAAAGACAAGAATGCGCAACGTGGTAGTTTGCAAAAACGTGCAAGTAGTAGATATGCACGGGAGCACAATGTTCATAGAAGGTACTGCATTGCGTATGAAGTCTTGTCTATCATTAGCCCGATCCACGGGCTTTAGTTGTAATGTGCGTTACACGCGCTCGATCCCAAACTTTTTCCTTTTTCCACCACAAGGCTGCTACAGCCGGGGCCATGTTCGTCTACCGACCGGGTCTCTTGGGTCTGCTAAAGTTTTGTCGCACCGTCACCTTGGGGTGTAGCTCCGAGAGAACCGTGTCCTCGGTGATCTCGCTGGGGTCCTCAACCTCGAGCTTCTTATCAAGCGTCAACCCTGCCTCACTAGACGCCACGTCCAGTACGGCGCGCTTCATGAGGGGGTACAGCATGCGGTTCTTGATGGACCTGTTGCCGGCGTTGACGGGACAGGTATAGATGAAGAGTAGGGGGCTCGACTCGGCTCCGTTGTGGGTGTGTGTGAATCGGTAAAAGGTAAAGCGCGGCTCGGTGGAGGAAATGGTCTGCGTGAGCTCGGCAATAGAGGAGGGGCTTTCGCTAGAGGGGACGAGCTCAACAGACTCCTTTTCGGGATTGATTTTCTATACATGTCCAGTCAGCCATGCAACATCAAGAAGAAGCGGCGCAGAGGTATCGAACGTACCAGCATCACCAATGTCTTGCCACTGTCCGGTGACAACTCCTTGAGTGCGGCGAGAGCGTCCTCGGCAATGGGCATGGCCAGGGTCTTGCTAAGGTGGATCTCCCTAGTTCCCGTACCGGTGCTGGCCTCCTGTTCGGCCTGCTTAACGGCGCCGAGGCTGCGCTCCTCCTCCGTCAACGGAGCCTCGAGCTCGGTGTGAGCATCATGTTTAGCGAAACCTTTGGCAGATAGCTCCTCGGCCATGGTAGCAAAGATGGACTCGCGGAAGTGCTCGGAGCCTAGCTTTCGGACCAGGGTCAGGCGGGTGGACGCAAAAAGCATCTTCTGGCGAACCTTGGCCGAGTCGGGGACATAGGTGACGGCTGTTAGGTGCGGGGCCGTATCATAGCGGCGAAGGAGGGCATAAAGGGCTTCGTTGGGCTTAAGATGAGGCTGGAGGGAAGCGAGGTTGTCGTCGAACGAGGAAGAGGACGATGCCTTCTCGAGGAATTGGACGGGCTTTAGGGTCTCGGCTTCAATGGTGATGAGAAGTCCGAAGTGGTTGTCGGTGGACAGGAGAGTGTTGAACTGGGAGATGAGCTCCTCAGAGGCTACCGGACGTTAGCTCTTGGAACAAATAGTACTCTATCGAGAGGAGAGCAATGACTACACACCGGAGATGCCTGACTGCATCCTAGCGATTGAAGACCGAGGTGCGTCTCGAAGCGTGCGTTTACAATTGAGCTTGTAGGTTGTAGCAGAGAAAAAACAGCAGGTCTAGTAGTATATATGCCCGACACCTCTATGCAGGAGATCTAAATGCCAAGGCGGACGCGTTGAGAAGCGGAGTATTCGGTGAGGTTGTGAGGTGGTGTTTGAAGCTTGAGATGCGGCGCCGCTACGTCAGCTGGCGGGTGGATCCAGTGGACGGAGACCGCGGTTATGGAGGGGTAGGAGCAGTTGCTGGGGTGCTGGGACACTGCAAGCTGCCACTCTGGCGGGCCTCCGCCATTCCATTGTCTGCCTTATGTCAGCATCACCATTTAGATAAGGCACCTAGATCTATCATTATCTTATCTCTTCTTATCGCTTCGCCTACCTAGGTAAGGTAGGCAACGTACCTCAAGGTACCTAACGTAGCTCCCAACATCAGAAATATCCATCAAGACGACACAAGGTAACATTACATCCGACTTGGGTTCAATTAATTCAGCGTCATGCGATCATCTTCATGCCTCGTTTCATACTACATTGAGTTTGTTTAACACTCAGCCATGGCTACATTCAAACGATGCGACTCCAATAGACACATCCCAAGTACGCAGCCGTGATGGCGATGGCATACGGCACAACCGCCCGAGCAGCCTGGAGCCAAGCTGCTCGGCGTATGACTCTGTCCGACTCAGTATGGGAAGCCTTGTCATTGACTCTCGGGAATGATTTGTCTTCGGGCACGTCCTTCTCAAGGAACTTGCAAAGAGGCTCCCATCCATCTTCGCCGACGCGATACACCAAAAGCCTTTCAGGCGCCACATGAGCCTTGACGCGCTCTGAATGCTCTCGGAAGACATCCGGTGCTCGCCGATGCAGCTCCTCGATTGTGCGAGCACCACCAAAGAAACCGCTGATAGTCTTCTGCATGGCGAAGCCAGCCCTGTTACCAATTACCATGCCCACACCCTTGAGAAATACATCAACCCACGGCCCAAACAGCGGTTGGATAACTTGGCTGTCGAAGCTTGGAAACCACTTGTCAAAGTCGCGTTCCGTGAGAATGATCTTGGCATCGGGATAGGCATCGATCAGCTGCACTGCCCAGAAACAAGACAGGTCGGTTACCGCGTCGTACGACCCGAAGAGTTCGTCCCAGTCTTTGCGAGTGAACGGCGTGGGAGGAGGTGTCTGGCCCTTTGCGTTCACTTCAGGCCAAGTCGCAATGGCGGCTCGCTCGAAGAATGCCCAGTGCGTTGGTTTCGTCCGGGAATTCAGACCGTGGAAGACGTGCTTAAAGCCCAGCTCAGAGAGGGCGGCCGCGAGAGAGTTCGTGCCTGTGCGAAGCAAACCGACGGCCAAGACCTTGGGAGGCCCAGCATCTCGAGTTTTCTCCTCGTGGGTGGCCATGGAAATGTTTGATTGACTTGGCACGAGCGAGCGGAATCAAAAACTTCGCATCCCACGTCGAGAACCCAGGATTCTGTTGGTTGCAGCTGAATCTCATGAGCTGCAGTTGAGATAGGGCAGACTGTCGAGTTAATAAGTTGCCGCCAAGCCATCCTCCCTCGTCAGCACTAAGGGCGCCACAGAGCCTTCTTGTGGTGAGAGAGACCGAACCCCACCACCGCGCACCACTTCAAAACTCAAGGCAGCATTTCAACTGATTCGGCATCCTGATTGTGCTTCAGCGTCTGTCCTCCTACTCGCGATGGACCGTTGCGTCATCTTCCTGATGTTTCCATATCGAATCTCTTCGATAAGTATGCATTCTCTGAACATCAAGTGACCAGCTGCTTTCTGCTGCGCATAAGCAACTCACGGTACTTCTCCAAGCTCTTTCCGATGATATTGATGAAAGGCCATTGCGTGTTGCTTTTGAAAAAGTGTGCCCATATTCTCAAAACCGCAAGGCTCAGTGAGGCGGGATCTCGATCCGTTGACGTTTCGGGCTCATCGTCTTCGAAATCGACGACATCGTACGCCTCTTCCACAATGCATCGAACCCAGTGCAAGATGCGATCCTCGCTGTCTGTTAGTCTCTTGTCAGTCTGGGGACGCCGAGAGATAGTCATGAACAAGCATGGATCAGCTTACCACTAAGAGGCGTTGTCGCGACGGATTCAGTGAGTGATGAGAGCCATTTACTGAGCAGAACCGCACACTCTAGCCCCGAAAGTGAGTGACGAACGCTCCAGAAGAACGCCTGGCTACGCGCGACACGGTCAACGCCAAGTCGTACAGGGATACTGAGCATATGAGCAGTGTACAGCAGCGCGGTGATGACACCACCACTTCGCTCCACGGCCGGAGACCGGTTGATGGCCTTGGCGATACGCATAGGGTCTCGAGATTCAAGAAGCCGGTACGGACCAAGGTGAAGGTAGATGCGCACATAGGCGAGGCCGAGCAAAGAGCTGGATGTGAAGGGGATAGGTCCATTCTCGTTGTTGGGGTCAAGACTGGATTCGGGAGCTTGCTGCCACCCTGCGGTCCAGGAACGCAGGCCTCGTCTTCATCAGGTTGTCAGTATCACGTTACGAACTGAGAGTCAACACGGGAAGAGGGACTGACTCAAGCTTGTCAACCTCTTCACTGGGAAGAGACGCTGACTGATCCATGACTGGTAAAGACAAGTCGCGGACAATGAAAATCCTCTGGAGGAGCCCATGCAAGAGGATGTAGTTACCCAGTGGTGTTGGAATAGGGTCAACGGGAGCGGTCCCGTCTGTGTTCCTCAATAGCAATGACAAAGCGTCTTGAAAGTACAGTTGTTGCTTCTCAGTTTCCTGGCGAGCGGTCTGCCACTGGCACGCCGACTGCGCTTTCCACTCTCCAGTCGAGCAAGGGAGTCGAAGACCAACCTCGTTGCTGCGTAGCACAGGATACACGTTATATGCGATGCTGTGAGTGTGCATGAAGGAAAAGGCAATGAGCTTGGCTCGGCGCGTAGACTCCTGTCGCACCCATGCTTGCCAGGCGGCTTGCGGGGTGGCCTGATCGGCAGGAAGTTGAGGGACATCCTCTTCATAAAGACCAACTTCTCGAAGGATCTGTGCCAGAAGTGCCTGTAAAGCAAACGCTTCTTGCACGAGTGACACTTTGGGCTCCCAAGTGGCGTAACCCATGAGGGCAATCAGGGCTCGAACTGTCTCTATTGGTTCCCAAGAACCCCAGTCCCTCTCCCGGAAACCTTGCGAGGCGCGGCGTTGTGGCGTCAGGTTGTGAAAATTCAGAGATGAACTGGTATTCGGACCAAATGTTTCAGACTCGTGCATCAATCTCTCCATGAGAATAGTCTTGCCCGCATGAAAAAGTCTCTCGGACATGCGATGCTCGAAGCAATACTGGGCGCCGACTGCAGCGAGGCCGAGAATGAGTTCAATGGAGTGTTCAGGGACTCGCCATGTTGGCGTATGTATGAATGGCATGTGCGAGTGGAATCCCTCGAAGAATGAGGTTAGATAGCGCGATAAGGCGTGCCGTGATGGGAACTTGAAATCTGGATCGAGAATGTCTCGAAATGTTTCAATGGAGTTGTTCAGACGATGCCGCTGCTCGTCTGATATACGGTACGGTTGCGAATCAATGTCAACAGACCGCGGGTCTTATTTACCATGTCAGCTAAAATGGCTTTGGACAATACGCGAGCCTTTGATAAACACTCACTTGTGTCTGGCAAGGTTTCAGATATCCGATTGCCAGTGGGCGCCGATGGTAGCCACGAACTAAAAGGCGTCCCCGGTCGAGTTCTATTATTACGGGCCCCCGGCGTAGTTGTCCCTTCTCTGGACATTTTCACCGTTGTGTCGGTAACCTCGTGATCTCTGTCAGGGCCGTGAAAGTAGGGGCTCCATTCCGCTGGCAGCCCAACACCGTCGAGAAAGTTGGCAAACTCTCTGAAGTGGGCGTCAAATCCCACAGCATCTTGATTGCCTAATACTTCTGCGTTAGCTTTCAAAAGTCAGAAAAGCGGACTCGAGCCATCAACCAACCATTTTCATAGAATTGATCTCCAAGCAGAGCCTGCTGATATGAGGCATCTACGAGAGCGCCGTTCCGTGGGACGGCCATGGGATACAGCTCTGACGGCGGTGCAGGTGGTTGTTGCTGTTGTGCCCAGTGGTCCACGCTCATCCCCGAGAGGGAGACGGCAGCAGCCAGATCAGCCTCAACAGGCCCATGGGTTTCCCCCGAGTCCGGCTCCGATGGGACCCCCGGAGACTCAGATCCATCCTCATGGAAAGCGATCCGCTGATGGCGGGTCAGCAAGTCACGCCGGGCAAAGGCAGCTCCACATCGACAGATGAATGGTTTCTCCTTGGTATCTGGAAGAACGTGCCGGTTAGCATCGTAGCACGTGGCAGTATCCCGAGCGTCTGGTCATGGAATGGGCTAGTAGTGTAGCGCCAGCAGGAGGGGTAGCTGATCGTTGACTCCAGACAAACATCACTCCAACACTTGGAGGAAGCTGAGGGAGGGGGGACGACTGACGCGTTCGCACATGGCGCTCCAAGTGCTCGGTGCGCTTGAACGTTCGTCCACAGTGAGGACAGGACCGCGCATCAGGGCCGTGACCGGTTCGCCTCCTTCGCTTGACTGGAGTCGAGTGCGGTCGCGGAAGCTGCTGCTGCTGCGGCTGCTGCTGGTGAAGCGGCTGCGATTGCGGCTGCGGGTGCGGTTGTGGATGCGAGCTCGTGCCGTTGTGGGACAGCATCCTTCCCACCTTCGCTTCGCGAGACTCTTCGGGCTTCTTGCGTGTTGGAGTTGAGGGAGACCAGGTAAGTTGGAGAGCAGAGGCTTTGGGGCATCCATCAGGCTTATGTTGGAGAAGACTGCAGCTGCTTGTGGGTCTTGCTTGACAGAGATAACTCCAACTGCCGTGGATTGGATCGCCCGCTATCTTTGGAGACTGACTCGTAATCAGACACCCCCTTGGCTCTCTACGACCCTGCGACCCTGCAACCCAACGCCCTTATCTCACGGAATTAGCCTTTGGAGTCTATGTAATGTCGAGGGTGTTAATGATCATCATTCGCTTGAGACAGACAGGTCGGCCTTCCCTGCTTTATTCCGAAGTCGTAACCGTAACACTGAGTTATTCGGAAGTTGTTTGCTCTCCCCGCAGTATCCACCAAATACGTGCGTGGACCAAGAGACATTGAACTGGTCCGAATGCTGATTCAACCATCGAGACTGCTGTCAAGCCTACATCTATAATCAGAGCAGAGCTGAATTTGGAGATACATCAGACCTATGCATCTCGAGACATAGTTACCAAACTCTCGTCATGTTCAAATTTCCTGGAGTTGCTTTCATTACTGGCGCAGGAGGGACTGGTGAGTCACAATTTACATGGCGCTGTGAAGCTCATGGTCGCGTCCTTCAAGCTCTAACTCGATTAATACCTAGGCATCGGTGCTGCAGTCGCAAAGGGGTTCGCGCGATCAGGATGTTCAAGAATTGCCATCACAGACCTTAATCAAAAGTCACTCGCAGATACGAGAGATGCCATTTTACAAATCAATCCAGAGGCACAGGTGTTTAGTCAAGAAGGCGACATCTCGAACGAAGGTTTTGTCAATTCATTCGTTGGAGATATTGCCAAGAAGTTCTTACGCATCGACTACTCAGTAAGCTGCGCCGGCATCCTGGGCCAGTCACTGCGGTCACACGAAACGTCGACAGCCGATTTCGATCTCATTACCAATGTCAACTACAAGGGTAGTTGGTTGGCATCTCGGGCGGTCTTGAGCCAAATGCTCAGACAGCAACCCCATGAAGAGCATCCAGAACAACGCGGCGCCATCGTCAATATTGCGAGTCAACTCGGCATTGTGGCGCGACCGGCTGCAGGTACGTTTAGCCGCTCCTTGAGGTAATAGGTTGTGTCGCACGATTACTCACATAATGCTTTCGTGTCAGCGCCGTACTGCGCGTCCAAAGCCGCCATCATCAATATGACGAGGTCAGATGCCATTGACTATTCGCAAGACAAGATCAGAGTCAACTGCGTCTGCCCGGGGGTCATCGCCACGCCAATGACAACAGCGTCAGAAGAGTTGGTACAACGACTGAGGCCCGCAATCGACATTGCGCCGATGAAGCGCATGGGTACACCGGAGGAGGTGGCTAACGCAGTAATGTTCCTGTGCTCGAGCCAAGCCAGCTTCATCCAAGGCCATGCTCTGGTCGTCGACGGAGGCTACACCATCAACTGAGAATTGATAATGGCAACTCAAATTTCATCGGATACGGTCACACCCGTACTACTTCGTGGTAACACTTTCCACAATCGTGACTGTGAAATGCTGATAGGACCTCTTCCTATTTGAATAGTCGAGGCTCTAACGCAGGTACAGAAGAAGCCGCATAGCCGGCAAAGCCGACCTTTGTTAGATTCCATACCAAAGTGTTGACTTTTATTACGATCTGAGTCCCTTTGACAGCACGCTACCCAGTCATCCTACCATTGACGACAAGATCCTCGGACTGAAGATAGGTCTGGCCCTTGGAGTCTCGCCTCACAACCTGTATCGTTCGATGAGATACACCTTGATCGTCCATTTGCAAACTGTCAGGCCTCATTTGAGATTCCGTCCACAGGTCCGTCACCCTCATCTCCCCGGGAGGCTGCACAAACGATGGTGAAGACACGGGCCGCCCACTGATATCCAATTTGATGTCGTGCTCGAGCTCAATGATTTTCCTTGCAGCCGCGACTAGGACGTCTGCTTCCCAAAGATTTTCCCGCGGGAGACCCAACACTGGCATCAGCCGTAGGAACTCCAGTCGCGTTTCTAGATCACGACAAGATGAGACGAGAAAGAATAGCATGGCGCCGAAGCCAGCTTCGAAGATGAAGTGTGGATGTTTTGAAGTATTGAAACGTAAAGGATCTGGAACCTCGGCTTCCAGCCAGAGAAGCCGCTTTAGGATTCTTCGGAAGTTGGTGATGTATCTATCGTAGCCGGCTTCGCTTGTATCGAATGCCATGTTGAGCCATATGCAACAGCACTCATAGCGAGTCAAGAGAAAGCATTGCAGCATCTTTGGCCTATCTGAGTCTGACCGGCTGATGATTTGATTGTTCTGCGTAGGTGTTTCCTTGGGTTTGATAGCCATGAAGTCATTGTAAAGCTTGAGCCACTGGTCTAGGAGACCGTTAATGGCAGCATGCTCAGAGAGAAGACTCGGGGGCGGTGTCCCGGTATCATCGGGTCCAGGCGATTTTGAAGCGGCTCGTTGTGAATTGCGCTGTGAGCGCATGAACTCTGCTGTTCGATTGAAGAGGACATCGAGCATGAGCTGTGCGTCTGAGAAAGTGAGAAAGAACTGCGGCATGGGTCCCTCTAGGGCCCTTATGTCAGGGAAATCCGACTCTTCTTCACCGAAGAAAAGAGCGAACTCGCTAAGCCGCCGAAATATCGGTAGGAGGTGCTCCATGGTCCACGAGAACATGTAGTCGGGAGAGATACTCTTCAGTATCTCGACACCATGTCTGCTGTGCTGCAGTGCTGCTTTTCTGTTGACGCGCATGATCTCCACGCAGATGAAGAGAACGCAAACAAGCAAGATTATGGGCTGCTTTTCTTGAGAGTCCATGACTCTCAACTCGTGAATAGCGGCATTGTAGTGGTGTAGGGCCAAATTTTGATTGCTGTGCCGTACGGTGGCAGTAGCCTCAAAATTGCCCTGAGCCTCTTCATAGAGACTGCTGATGGAAATGACGGCGTGTCTGACGGCCGGCTCGAAGTTACTGAACTGCATCACGACGTGTGTCCAGAAATAGGGATCCACGGCTCCTGACATGACTGGTCCCGCTATCTCACAGAAGTACTGTAAAGCTCGACCTTCGCTGACCTTGGTGACTCCCGGGAAGACTTGATTTGGCTGGTGTAGGGATACGGTTCCTTGACGAGCGGGTCTGTAGCCATCGCAGCGTCTGCCTGTACTGGTGCAGCGATTGCATATCGGCTTAGCCTCGTCGCACTTGACTTTGCGGGCTCTAAAGACCGTCAATTAGGTGCTGATCAGATGGAGATATATGGACCCCGTAAGTGCGGCACAGCCTGGATGGCTGACAGCCTGACACGCCTAGTAGACTTACTTGCAGGTGATGCATCCAGTCCGAACTTTGGGGCTTCCTTTGCGGACCATGTTTCTGTCTCGGATGTGTGCGCAAGTTGGCAGGCCTTTACCGTCTGTTTCCTGACGCAGTAAGCCGCCAGGAGCAGCTTTGGGAAGGGTGTTGGGCTGTGCTTGTCCACTCGTCAGCTGGGAGAATTTGGCGACTGTTCGGCGGTGGAGATGGAATGAAGTGAATCATTCCGGAAGCGCTCATTCAAACGATGGTCGGGCGGAGAGCTATCTGTGTGACCAAACATGTCCCGTTTGCTGGGGTTCTTGTGGGGAGACAGGGATAGAAGCGAGCCGACCAATGTCAGTCCTGCGTTTGATCAATACTTGTCTTTCTAACATTAGCGAGGCACAGCATGAGCCCTCTCGCCGCGGTGACCGAGCGGCAAGGTGTCTTTGGTTACGACCATACGGGTAGTGCCGTTGGTGGTGCGGGGTAGTGAAATTGAGGTGTTCTGGCGGGCAAGCCAAGTCAGGTCTACCCTTTGTTGGGAAGAGTTGAGCCGCAAGCGTTCATTCCCAAAGTGCTTGACCGAGCCTTGTGTATCAACTGCGGAATTGCTGGGGAACCAGGCGACACGTGGCGGACCAAGCAAATACCCAGAGCCAAGAGAGAGCGAGTGTCTATATGTGTATCACTGTGTGTGTGGCATAAGGTACTAGGCAATTAGGTCCTTGAGGCCGAGGCATGGCTCGAGATGGTGTGAGAGATCCCGACAACTTCCTTCTACTTTATGCTAGATACCTTGAAGCTATAGACATCAGACCCCTTGCGCCACAGGCTCCAAACCCAGATAGTTTGCTCTGAATGCAGCCCTTTTGACTTGGTCTCGTAAGGCTCTCAAACGGCCAACTTCACACGCTTAAGACTTGGTGAAGTTGTGCCGTTAACCTCAGGCATCGTCCTGCCATTGACTTTGACATTGGAGCCCGTTGAGAGAGTATCCGGAACAGATTCAGAAGCTTCGGTGGTGCTCGTGACGCTCTTCCAGTCGAAGTTGGTCTCCCATGCATGTGCAATGGTGAGGATTTTCTTCTCTTGCCATAGCCCTCCGACAATTTGCATGCCAACCGGAAGTGAGACCTGCGCGTCATCTTTAGCGGCAATAAATCCCACGGGTATTGACATTGCTGGATGTCCAGTAACGTTGAATACGGCGGTGTTGGTGGTCAGTCCTATGGTGGGTTCAAATGAACCCAGCACAGAATCTCGAGGCCCATGTCGTGGTGCCACAAAAGGAGTCGTTGGCATGATTATCGCATCGTACGTTTGAAACTTGCTCTGATAGGCGTCGCTGATTTGCCGACCGATGTTGACTGTTTTGCTGTAGAGACCCGGGAACTTGTCCGAAAGATACAAGCCGTTGATGAAGGTATTCTTTGTGGAGGGGAAAAGCTTTTGAAAGCTCGAATCCACCCAGGGCAGTCGTGCCTTTTCAAACTCAGTCAGGCCAAGACCTCTGTGTCCCGAAGCTCTCCCCAGCATACCCGACGAGCCCGCAATACGTTGTTGTATTGTCCATATTGAAGGGCCTTCCAGATGAAGAGGGACGGATACATGCTCGACAATTGCCCCTAGAGACTCCAGTCTCCGGGCGGCCGAAAGGACGTGGTCTTTGACTTTGGGGTCGACAATTTCTTGATCGAAGCCCTCCCTCAAAAGGCCAATCTTGATTCCGTCCAAACGACCGGAGCTCGCTGACAGAGCAGCAGAGAAGTTGTAGGAGCCATGAGCCGTAGCGCCTAGAGACTTATCGTCGATGCCGTCGTATCCGGAGATCACATCAAGACACTCAGCAGCTTCAGTGACCGAACGGCAAATGGGCCCTGCATGGTCATCAATAGCATCACCGCTAGTAATTCCCGTGAAAGGCACCAGACCGTGAGTCGGCTTCACACCGACGCAGCCGCAAAATGAAGCTGGAACCCGGATGCTGCCGCCTTGATCTGTGCCTAGCGCGATATCGATCTTTCCGGAACAAACAAGGGCGGCACCCCCAGAGGTGCTGCCACCGGTGGAGTAGCCTTCCTTATAGGGATTCTCGATTGTGCCTTGCGCGCTGGTGAAGGATGCTGTGGAGTTGCAAAAGTGCTCACATGTAGCCGTCCCCAGAATATCGGCTCCGGCATCCAAAACTCGTGTCACCACTGTGGCATCCGTCGATGGCGTCCAAGGAGGAAAAGCATCGCTCCCAAAGAATTGTGGAACGCCTGCTACGGCAATGCAATCCTTCAAGCATACAGTCTTTCCTTTCAGGCATACCTGAGACGGACCAGACGCTGACTTATCTCCCCTAATCAAGAAACGATGTGCCCACGCATGCCCAAACTCTTGCTCTTCTGCTGTGGGTATATGCACATTCTCTCGGGGGTATCGTTTCGTGTCGGGGGCTGGTTGGTAGTCTGGAAGACTATCGATACGGGTAGCGCAATCGTGCACCGCAGCGAGCAGTCGCTGGTAGTCGGCCGACTCCTCAGCCTTGATCGTCAAACCGAGTGGCTCGAGCAGCTTCTCGACGTCGCCTTTCTGCACGGGGTTCTCCCTATGGCGTACCTATCAGCATTCAGGCCGCATCAGGTAGGATAGGATTGGTCCTTACGTGGAGATGTCCTTGAAGAAAACAGACATGATGGGAGGTGGCAATCGTCGACGGTGTTCTGTTGGATCGCTGGTCACCGATGCGTTTCGATTGATTGTAGTGACGACTGATTAGCCAGCATGCTGTTCATAAAGGCTCGAAAGTAACATCCATGCTGAACCCACGAGAAATTGTCGGGGGCTCTTCCGCGGGCCATTGGGTCAATCTGTGGCGAAGGCGGGTTTCCGATGACACACAGAATGAAGTCGACATCAACGAACGTGATGGCAATATCCGTAGAATGCCCCCGCTACTCTGTGCCTCCAAGCCCCAGTAACACAAACCTACTGTGGCACGAGAGATTGTGGAGGGAGGGGCACAATGGTATTGGGGTAATACGAAGATTGAGTTAAGAGAATTTGGAGACAACGTCTAACGACCCCAACTCCACCACTACTGAATGCGGATGACCCTAATGAGCGCTGGTACAACTCAGTGTCCGC